TAAAATTTACAAGGTATTTTCTTGGCACTATATCCATCATTACAATTGGTCAACACAACACAAGAAAATTCCTCACTCAGATGCTTGAAAATTTTCCCCATTGTTTGCCGTGTCAGCATAAGTGTTTGCCGTGTTAGCAAAATTATTTGCTGTGCCAGCAAAATTGTTTGCTGTGTTCGCAAAATTATGTACTATGTCAGCAAGTTGTGTGCTGGGTCAGCAAATTAGTTTCCGCGTCAGCAAAATTATTTGTCGTGTCAGCAAAAACAAATCAAAGGCACACTAACTGAAAATTAAAGCTCTATCATCTGCAACAGGTGGTCGCGGCGACATGACGCTCTGGCCCCCAGCGCGCGGCGCGTGTGGTAGAAGCGGGTTCGTTTAAAAATCCGACGACGTATTCGGGCTCAGCGGACACTTTCGTACCCGGGCGAAGTAGGTAATTTCTCAGGTGGAAGGATGTAGCTCAAGGGCCGCTCAAGGATTTAAAAGAACATTTGGTCTTTTTAGGCCGCTCTTCTGCTTTAGAAAAGCTATATCTAGCGGGCTTATGCAAACGACGTCGTGTCTGTCTGTCTGTTCCACTAAAACGACATGTTTTAGCGACTTCAAATTTTCAGGGTATCTTAAAGTTCACTCCTACGCCTACGGCAAATCCCAGCAACCACCTCTAAGGGGCTGAAAGGGGGTGTCAAAGAAAATGAAGCAGGTCAAAAAAGTCAAAAAAAAAAAAATAATAATAATCTATTTAGGGGTAACTCGTTAAGGTAGAGCTGTTTGGACGAAAATTTTGTCCGTTCGGCTCTATCTCTAACCGTTTAGGCACTGGAGGGTCTTGTTTTGACGAAAATTAGCTAACAATTGCTGTAGTGAACAGTTAGTTGCAGAAGAAGTCCTAAAAACCACAAAAGAGGAAAGAAACTCCCCCACTTTACCCCAAAGAACGTTTTCTAAGCAGAAGGGTGGGTTGTAGTCGCGGTGCTTCACCGTTACGTCGTGTATACGGGGTAAATTTTAAGGACGACGGGTTTTTGAGGGCTGAAGGCCCGTTACATTATTTAATTATGTTCTTCAGCAAATTGCGGGACAGAAATGGTCGGGCCTTTCGGCCGGCAGGCCGAGCAGGGCCGGCCCTTGCCGAACGGAGGTGCCGGAGGAGCGAAGCGGAGTTGGCAATTCCGTTTGGCGGAAGGGCGGGCCTGCTTGTTCATCTTGTTTTCGCCAAGAAATGCCCCCTAGCACCCAAACGGTATAAGATAGAGCAAAACGAACGAAATTTTCGTCCACAGGACTCTACTTTCACGAATTACCCATTAAGAGCACATAAAAAAATGAAAAAAATAAATTTTGCGACCTGTGGTTTTTGATTTTTTAAAAAAGGCAATTTTTTTGCTAGAATGCTCGTCTTCCAACTCGGTCTGTCTTTTTATTATACAAAACGACCCTGAAATTCCTAGATCCACTCTCTCAATTCTTTCTCAAGTTATCGTGTGGACAGACAAACAGAATGAAACTTTTCCGGTCAGTGGAGTAATGGGCTTCGCTAATCGCTCAGCCAGCAACTAGCAGCCATTGTACTAGGATTCGTGTAGTATCTCCTAATAGTTATTTTTAGGCCCCCGACGAAGGAGGGGTGCCTATTGCTTTCGCCCGAAAGTTTCTTTATTCCTCCTTTTCTATGGCCCCTTACGGCAAAACCGATCGTGCCTAAGGGATTTTAACAAAATTTAAATAAAAAATACTTCAAAATTTTTTTTGAAATATATTTAGTATAATTTTGTCTGATGAAATTTGAGAAATTTGAGTTTGCATCCACGCGTTTCCATGGAAATGACGAACTGAGCAGCAGGCTGAGCCTAGCCAGGTAGATTTCGGCCAATCACAAATTTGCGCGAGAAAGTTCAATCAATGGAAGCGATCGCCTGTTGCTTAGTACAACCCTATCCTAAAAATTATTTGGCCCTGGCGTCGATATAGTGGTCGCGTTTAAACAATACTATCGTGCCGCCGTGTATAAAGATACAACACAGACGCCGTTTTGAACGCGGCCGCTGAGCGCCAGCCACGGCTTTGATTGTTGGCTGGGAGTGTAGTTCCGCCTTGTAATAATTTCGTTTTAAAAGGGGCGGAAAGTATACTGATGCAGCCAACCTATAACGGAAACTATATATTATGTTTTTACCTTCTTTAAGATTATAAGTGTCAACCTACAATATAGAACACGTCTAAATGTGTACGTGTTTTTAATATATGAAACACTTATCAGTGATCTCTTATCTGACGCTGTTATTAATATTTTTGAAAAGTTCACGTTCCTTGTTTTGAATGTAATTGCGGTGTTCATTTGAGCAAGCTAGCTTGGCGAACGATCAGCATAGGCCTACTAAACTTTGAAATATTTCTAATAGACAAATTGTTTAGAATTTTCAGTGTACAGGAAATTTACCACCGTATGTATAAATATTTTTAGTAGATCATTTAATTTAATCTGATCAACATAAGTTTCCTAGATATTTGGCTGAAGTGTACATCAAAATCAGTAACTACCAATGTAATGAATCGTTGTAGTATTATATTTGTATGTATACATGCCAGTGTTCACGTTAAAATCTAAGGCGACCGTTAACGCGTTAGCGTTAGAATTTTTAGTATTGGAGGAGTACTCTCCGAGGTTTATTCAACCTAGTGCCGTGTTAAAAACACCACTCTTACCTTATTAACCTATCCTTAAAGTGCTCATGCTCCTGTTTCGGTCATTTAAAAGCTTGGAATACCTATAGCTCTAGAATGGCTAGGGAACAGCGACCAGACTTCGCATACACGTCTGTATCGGTAGGGAATTACTTTGGTACACACCAGGGAATTTTGCAGAAACGTGATGAAACCTTTGACTTTCGATTTAATGTCGTAAATCTTATTATATTTTCTCTTGGCAGTTGTGTGCTTTTTTGTCCATTGCCAACGGATACCACCAATGAGATTTGTGTGTTTGTGTCTCTTTCAGATCGGATTCGCACTCCACGAACTCGCGATGAACCATGCTTTGCAGCGACGCGCAGTGGCTGAAATTCAAGAAAATATAAGGAAGCACGGAAGTTTAACCTATGATGCTGTTCGGGATATGGAGTTGATTGAGAGAATAGTGAGGGAGTCACTGCGGAAGTACTCGCCGGTTGGCATCTTGACGCGCCAGCCCAGCGAACCCATCAAGGTAAGCTAGGTGTACGACAAGCACGTTAAATTTGAGCAATGGTTTCTGAGAAGAGAAAACTAAAGGTGAAGTTTTGAAACTGTTGTGAGGAATACAAACCTATTTACCTTAGGCAGCCATCCCCAGTGCTGTTGTCCCAGTTATTTGATAGGGTGCAATTTACTTATTTTCTAGTTATAAAACTTTGTCTGAGAGCCCCCTTCCTCTTTACTGGCACATGGTCTGAGCAGTTCTACTGTATAATACGCTATGTTGTAGTTGGCTGAGCGACAGCGAAGCCTATTCCACTAATGATGATCAAAAAATTCCATGTCTGTCTGTGTGTCATTCAGGATAACTCGATAACAGACTTAACTAGCGGCCTTAAATTTTCAGGGTCGTTTTGAATTCTAAAAAGACACATCAAGTTCAAACATCAGCATTCTAGCTCAAAAATTGACGTGTCAAAAAATCAAAAGCACTAAGCCCAAAAAATGTGTCTTTGAAATATATTTGCTTGTGTCTCGACATAACTCGTTCTTATGGGGAAAATCGTCAAAAACCATGAAAAAATGAAAATCAGAAATTTAGGCTTTGTACGTGAAGTTTTTTAAAAATCTGTTTTCAGAAATGCAATGTACGCCAAAAAAGGCATCCGGTGATGTATCACACTTGATTTTGCAACCCATGGTTTAGGCGGTGTAGGCTGCATAATTTGATGACTTTTATGCAATTTAGTGCAATTTAGGCTTAAATTGATACCTGGCCGGCACTGAACCGCTCACTATAATATCAAGTGTGACACATCAGTGGATGCCTTTTATGGCGTAGATTGCATTTCTGAAAACAGATTTTCAAAAAACATCATATAGAAAGCCCAAATTTTCGATTTTCATTTTTTCATGGTTTTGGACGATTTTTCCCATAAGAGCTAATGCATAACTTTGAACTCGTTGCGCGATCGGAAAATATTGTCCAATCTCAAAATAAAAAATTGCACTGGATTCTACATAGAAAGACAACTTTTCCGCATACCCGCCATTTCAATATCTCAAATCCTTTTTTTACGCTACCCTCTAATACTTAGTGTCAAGTGATTGTCTGGTAAACTTACCTTAGTCTGTAAAATTATAGAACGCTTGTAAAATAACTCCACAAAATTTCTTTAATCCCTATGGGGGCAGGCCTGCGAATTGAAGGGTTTGGGAAAATAGTCACCCCTGGCCGTGGCCATCAATGGTACAGTGGCCATAAAAGGGTACCTTACCCTTATACCCAACAATAGGAAAATATGCTTTAAAATGGAAACATTTGCAGCCTGTGCAATACCGGCGTAATACTGCGTTATACACGTAATATGACATACACATGGCACGAAAAGTCCAAGTAAAGCCCTCTCGAACAGTACGAAAAGCCAACCTTATTTCTCTTAAGAACCCGGGCAATAACTCCTTTTTGATGTGTACATATGATTCCCGAAATATTTGGTTCCTATTGATTAGGGTAAGTCGTATATCGCTTATTTTCGATTCTTGGGTTGTAATAGTGTTTTCCAGGCGCCATTTTGGATGAAAACTCCTGGAAACATTTTTTTTTCGAGCTACAAATTATTATTGGAAGGGAAAAGGTTGCTTATTTACAGCAATATAAAAACAATTCATACCATGCAAACCGGCAGAGATAGAGCCTTCTCCTTAAAATTTTCACCCAGAGGGCCGTAAAATTGCGTGTTTAGTCAAGAAAAAAGTACGCCCAAAATTGAGGTTTGCAAAACCACCTCTGATGGCAGGCCAGAATAACAGGCAAGGTAGGGTTACCCGGGTAAAACGGTTTGTATACAACTCACTAAGAAATTTTATTACAATTTATAGACTTTTATAAAATTGAATATGATTGAGTACACCGTAATATAACGATATAAAGGGTGTTTTACAAATGTGTATAATATTTGGTAAAACTTTATACAATGATATACAGAGGCATGTATACGTTTTTATAAAATCTAATACAATGTATATACAATAAACGTGCCATATATAAAGCGACGTATATTAGAGCATCGTTGTACCTCACGCATGTATACAGCCACATACATGTGAATAAATGCCACCTTGCCCTACATTAGAATGTATACAGGCACATACACTCATACGGTGACTGGTAACGTTTATGGGCACTCCCCTAAATGTAGGCAAAATGTGGTTGAGTTCTAAAATGCAGCATAACTTGTAAACGGCTACACATAGGGAAGTGAAACAACTACTATCGTGCTCAGGGCAAAAAGATGATTCGGACAGCATATCAGCTGAAAACGACAGCCACCCACTCTGGCCGCTTCTCCAGTGAGTAAATTGAAATGCTCAAGTATATATTGTATAATATTTTATAAAAAGGTATACTGACAAAGTAATACAGTTTTACCAAATGTAATACAATTACCTTTATACAGCTTTATACAATTACTTGTATACCTCTGTATACAAACTTACTGTGAATGTTTTTTCACCCGGGTATGAAAACGTTAAAGGAAAAAACTTAAAAAATGTTTCCATGAGTTTTCATCCAAAATGGCGCCTGGAAAACACTATTACAACCCAAGAATCGAAAATAAGCGATATACGACTTACCCTACTATTGATTTCCGTCCGCTTCGATTGATTACTTAGGCTTTCTATTGGTAGAAAAAGATTTTGACTGATTTCTACCAGTTCCACTAATTTCCCGCTTAGCTTATTTCAAGCGATTTCTGTTGGTCCCGATTAATTTTCATCCTGATGATACCCAGCCGAGGGTACGTACATCATTTCCGGAGTTGTTGCCCCCTCGGAAGAACCCATTCAAGGCGGTGGTCCCCGAAAAAATCAGTGATCCGTGAGCCGCCGGAGTAGGAAGGGTGCTGTATTTGTAGGATTTATTTCTTTCCAGATTCCAGATTCAGATGTTGTGATTGACCCGTCCGTCATGGTTTGGATCCCAGTGTGGCAGGCCATGCACGACCCAGACATTTTTCCTGAGCCCGAGCGCTTCGACCCAGATCGCTTTACCGAAGAGGCCAAGAAGACCCGCCATCAGTACAATTACCTGCCCTTCGGAGAAGGACCCCGATTTTGCGTCGCCGAACGATTCGCCATTCTTGAAATGAAGCTGTGCATAGCTGGGCTGTTGCAGCAGCATGCGTTTGACGCCGGTAGTAAGACTGACGTCAAGCTCAAACTCGATCCCAAAACGTCCAGTCCCACTCCACAGAATGGTTTCTGGCTTCAAGTGACAGATAGACCGACATCTGCGTTATAGTTATTAGTCTATTCAAAACGAGTTGTAAATTAACAGCGTAATTAAAGCGTATTTAATTTTGCTAGCAGCACATCCAAGCCATAAACATTTTCCTGGAAGTTTAAAATGACAACTAGTTGTATTTATAAATAAACATTATTCTTTTTCATTATTATTTATCACTAGTTTGTACCCAACATAGCTTCGTGCGAATGCAAAAGATGTGAAGGGTATAGGTGAGGGGGTTGTGGCAAGGCTGGTAGCAGATGAGAGTCAAGGAAGTGCTTGTTCTGACAGGGGCTGAGCAGAGTGAAGAAGGGAGGGTGGGGCACATAGTTGCGGGGGCACATAGTGACAAATCGCTACCCTGGCCCTCCTGGTAACTACGCACCAGCCTCGGTGCGAAGAACAAAAGATTCTGACCTTTAGAAACACATACCACAAGCCGGTTGAATTAGACTCAATGTGCTTGGGCTGAATGTAAAACTTTAACATTGACAATTTTGACTAGGGTTGGTACATTTTCAGTCAATGTCGATTTTCGATTCGTCGATTCTGGAATCGAAAAAAAAAGAATCGATTCTTCCAAAAATCGATTTTTTCCCCCAAAGAATCGATTTTCGATTCGATTCTCGATTTTTTTGTCTGTGCGTAGGAAGGCGATAGTTTAAGTGTAAATTAGCAATAAATGCAGCAATGGGATGATTCAAAATTGCTTATTAAAACAAATGAGTCTGGCTTCTTGCCCTGACAAAATTAACAATAATTGTAGTTAAAGGAATGAATGCAAAATATGAACAAAACCCCTATCCAGGGCCATGCGCCTTGTCAAAACCTTGAAACCATTCTTCCGGCGTGACTTTCCGGAGGAAGACTAGCATGTCGAGGTGATGTCCAGACAACCGGCATCTTAGCTGGTTGGCAATTATTCCACCATGTGAAAAAAGCCGCTCGCACGGGACGGAGGTAGCAAACTATGGTAAAGATTTTAAGGGCAGCGCGCCACACATTCGGGTACTCCCCTTTCAGACTTTGCCACGACTTAAGAGGATTCGGATTAGACTTCCTGTCGACCGGCGGACGGTTCAAAAATTGCTTCAGTTCCACCGGCAGCCCTCCCACACGGTCACCATCTGCTTTTCTATTCGACTCCCGCACCTGCTCATCAATTGCCGCCCACGGGTCGTCCTGGTCCACAACGACATCAGCGTCAGCATCGGCACCCTCCTCCATCGCTGCCTCATATGCAGCCCGATCGGTAGCGCGCGATTCAGCAAGGCTTGCACTGACCAAACGTCCTGAAAAACGCAAAAATGCCTTAAATATCACCAATAACAAGATTTCAGTGCTAGTTGCCGTCAAATTATCTTACCAACTTCTTTTTCTGCCGCTTTTAGAGCCGCCTGATTCTGAAATGGCACCTTTTTGAATCTTGGGTCTAATAGAGTGGCTGTAGCATAGAGAAGGTTTCGCTCAATGTTAGGAAAATGATGCTCCATTCCAGCCAAAAGATTTGTCTTAACTCTCCTTCCAA